GTTTCTGTGCTCCCAGGATACTTTCAAAGAACCAGGTTGCGCTGTAGGGTGTCTGCTGCAGTGTCAGTGCTGGCTGAGCACCGAAGGTTCGAGACTGCTAGCTGGCCGGGGAGGCCCCCTGTGTAGGCTGTGACTTAAGACACCTCCTCGGCTCCTCCCCTTCCTCGCCTCTGCATCCATGGGGTCATCAAGGGCTGCCGGTTCTGCCCAGAATGCCTGTCCTTTCTGTCCTCCCCTCTCCAGCTGACGCCCCCACTCCTCTGTCGGAGATGAAGTGCTGCTCTCTCTTCTGTGCTTCTAGCGCACGGCCACGGCCCCTCTGCTCCTCCGCCCAGTCGCTCCTCGGGGCCACAGCTCCCTGAGGGGCGAGACTGTGTCTGAGTGTATCTCACCAGCACCCAACATAGTAGGGCCTGGTACATAGTAGGTGCTCAGTAAGTGTTGACGAAGCATATGGATATTAGGAAAGCAAAATAGACTATAAAGCCGTACCAGATAATGGGTGTTTATAATTTGCTTCAGTTTTGGATTCTTCCTTTAGATGCCCCCTCCCCAACAGGGTCTTTTAATTGGTTCACAGTTAGAGTATTTTTGAGTAGATAATACATTGATAAGGTCCAGCAATCAAAATACTTTCAAAGGTTCTCATTGAGAAGTCCTGGTTCCATCCCTGTCTTCCCTCTGCAACCCTCTACCCCAGCTCTCAAGCGGTAAGCACTTTCATTCATTTCTGACATATTCTTTCAGTATTTCCTCATGAAAACAAAAAATTCAAATTTTTGTTCTTTTTTGCCACTTTCTTACACGAAAAAGTAGCACACTGTATATATTGCTGTGAATTTTTTTTTTCACTTAATAATAACCCCCAGAGTGTTCCATATCAGTAAGAACACAGAAAGCATCCTCATTCTTTTTTTGGTTTTGATATTTTTTTTTTTCAGAGTTGCATAGGATCCCATTATGTGGAGGTATCATAGTTTACTTCACCAGATGAATACCTGGGCTGTTTCCAAACTTTTGCTGCTGCAGGCAAGCTGCAGCAAATAACCTTGCACATGCGTCATTTCCTACACGTCCAGGTGTAGCTGCAGGATCACTTCCCAGACATGGCTGAAAGGCGCGTGTGATTTCAGCAGATTCTGCCAAACGACCTTCCACACAGGAAGGCACCGTCTTGTACGCCCCTTGCGAGGTAGGAGGGTGCCTGTTTCCCACAGCCTCACCGCAGAGTCGTGTGGCCAATCTGATCAGTGAGAAATGGTTCCTTAGTGTCATCTCCTTTTCATTGATTAAGACCGATCATCTTTTCACCTTTCAAGAACATTTGTATGTTTTCCATTAACTGTGTGTCATGTGCATTGCCTGTTTTTTTCTCCTGGCTCTTGGTCTTTCTTCTCCTGGTTTTATGGGAGCTCTTTTACATGGTGGGCAGATGAGACCACTGTCTGTGGTCTCCTTGCAGTTTTCCCAAGTGAGTCATTGTATTTTTATTTATGGTGTGGGGTTTTTTTTCCTTATATAGAAGTTTTGAATTTTTTTATGTAGCAAAATGTATTGATCAGCCTTTTATGGCTTTGGGGTTTTATATCAAAGTTAGACAGGCCATTTCCTACCCCAAGATTATGAAGGAATTCACCCATAGGAGGCAAGAGGAAGCAGGTGTGGGCTCCTCCGAGCTATGCTGCCAGCACCATAGTTTTGTTTGGGACTTAGCCCTGTTCCCACGGGGAGAAGGGTTTGCCGCCAGCAGCTGATGCCCACTGCCAAAGGCATGTGTGCCAGGCACCCTGATCATCAGCGGGTGCCCCTCGCAGGGGCTGGAAAGGAGGTGGATAAGGGAGAATGAAATGTTTGGCAGCCCTATGTTCCCAACAGGTGAGGTCTGGCCAGGTGCAGCCAGGTTAGCATAAAGAGAGGAAATAGAATTAGAACTTTGAAGTGAAACTCTAGACTCACATAAACTTGAACCTTTCCTGGGATTTGAAAAGAAGTAATTAATTTAGAAACATTTTCCCTCAATGTTAAACTCTGCCACACTGGCTCCAGGCAGGAAACATTCTAGAACAGGTTCCCAAATGAAAGTCCTTGTTTTTACTCTACCACTAACTGTGGACGGATTGTTTCACTTCTCTGAGCCTCGGTTTCTTCCTCTGTAAGTGGGGATAATAATTAGGTCTAACATTGAACACTAAGTACACTTCAGACACTGTATTCAACATTTCACATGCATTAAATTGTCCACTTTCTAGGCAGCTAGTGTGTTATTAAATGCAGTGACATGAAAGGTTTTGCACAATGCCTGGCACATCATAAGTCTTCAGTAAATGTTCTCTGCTATAAATAGTGCTGCTGTTTTGTATGCTTGCTGAAATCAGATGGGAAGGCTCAGCATGTAATTGTGTTATCATTTTAGTCACTTGTTCATTTCACAAATACTTCCTGAGCCCCTACCACGTGTGAGTGCCAGAGACACAGTGGTGAGTGAGGCCTGTGCCCTGCGGTACTTACAGACTAGCACGGCAGACACAGTGGTCCCTGCTACAGACTGAATGTTTGTGTCCCCACAAAATTCATATGTTGAAATCCTAACCCCCAAGTGATGGTATTTGGAAGAGAGGCTTCTGGGAGGTGATTAGGTCATGAGGGTTTGGCACTCGTGAATGGGATTAATGCCCTTGTAAAAGAGACCCCAGAGAGCTTCCTTACCCCTTCTGCCAGTGTGTGAGCACAGCGTGAGCAGACAGCTGTCTGTGAACCAGGAAATGGGCCCTAACCAGTCACTGAATCTGTTGGTGCCTTAATCTTGGACTTCCCAGCCTCTAAAATTGTGAGAAATAAATGTATGTGTTCATAAACCACCCAGTCTATGGTATGTTGTTGCAGCAGCCTGAATGGACTGGAACAGTCGGTGAGCAGTGCCACCCCCTGCAATGAGGGCTTTGCTAGAGAGCGGCCGGAGTGCTGTGGGAGCACAGAGCAAACAATCCCATCCCAGATGCAGGGCTTGCAAACCCAGCACCCTGTGCAGGACAGGGATCCAGGTGCATAGTCCCCCTGGAAGAGTGACAACTATTATAGTCATAGGGAACGCTTGTATAGCAAGTACTTTGTACCAGGAATGGTTCAATTAATTCTCACAATAGCCCTGTGTGCTTGGTACTATTATTATCCCTATTTTACAGATAAGGAAGCTAAGAGAACAAAAGGTTGTTCAAGGTCACATAGCTAGTAAGTATAAGTGGTGGAGCCAGGAAACGGCCCCAGAGTTTATACTGGGAGGTGGATGCAGAGAGGGGAGCAGAGGCGCCCAGCACTGCGAACTGGGCTGGGCTCCCTGCAGTGTGTTGGGACCATAACAGCACAGTGGGAGCGGAGTGGCCAGAAGACCAGGTACCAGGTAGCATCTGGGCAGGAGATTTACCATGCAGTCTGCCGCTCTCCAACCTTGTCAGGACCAGCAGGGTGGGCATTGGAGGGGATAGCTCAGTGTGTTTTGTGAATGGATCCAGGAATCTTGCTGGCCTGAAATTATACTTTATAGGATGGATCTTTTTTGGTTTGAGATATTTCTCCCTGGTAAAATGAAAAGACATTTTTGGTGGGACCAATTCCTAAAGTCTGTAACAACTGTGGCTATTTCTATCTACCTAAAATGTGCTCTCCTGCCTTCTTTGCCCAGGCCCTAGATGGTTCCTGCTCCTCCCTCAGATCCCCAAACCAGACTCATGTCCCACATTTGGTGCTGCCCCAGCAGCCTGGACCTGCCCTTCACGGCTCTTGTCTAGGACTTACATTTTATTGGCTGATAATTAGACTCCAAGCTTAAAAAGAGCAGAGATTGTGTGTTTTTCTCATCCTTTCATTTTCACACCTGGCATAGGGCTGCAATATATAGCAGACACTCAATAAATAAGTGAATAAGCAGCAAGACCTTCAGGAGAACTAAGATTTGGAAGCCATCAAAGAGATCAGGCCTAGGTGTAACACACATCACCCTTTGGGGAAAAAGCCTGTGCATGCAGACCCTGGGTAGAAAGTCACTGGTGGTCTAAGGAAAGGAGCCAGCAGAGGTGGACGTTTTGATGATGGAGCTAGAGGATCCATATTGGTGTCAGGGCAGACCAGGTCTCCTCTAAATACTGCAAGTAGCCACTGCATTGCCAAGCGCCCAGTGAGGCCCTCTCTCCATTCACCAGCGACAGGGCTGATGCAAGTTGCTCAGCCTCGCCAAAAGCTCAATTTATTTATAAAATAGGGATATAAAACTTCTTCATAGTAGCATTGGAAGGAATAAAATGAGATAGCATATGAAAAGTGTTGTACAGTGCCTGCTTATGTACTTGACCAGTGAATGCTGTTATTATTATGATATTCTTTTTAAAATGTACCTAGTTTTTAACATATTATACTCAATCCTCAAAACATCCTTGTGATATAAGTTATGATTCTCACTTTTTCGGTAGGGCCTCTCAGGACTATATGAGTCAAGTTGCTGCTCGAAGTCCCACACAGACTTAGGGGCAAAGCTGGAATTCAAACCCAGGTCTGCCTGCCCTCAAGGCCAGGTCTCTGTCCATTTGTTGATATCAGAAATGGGCCATTACAGAGTTTATTTATTTTTATTTTTATTTTTGAAACAGAGTCTCACTCTTTGCCCAGGCTAGAGTGCTGTGGCATCAGCCTAGCTCACAGCAACCTCAAACTCCTGGGCTCAAGCAATCCTCCTGCCTCAGCCTCTCAAGTAGCTGGGACTACAGGCATGCGCCACCATGCCCAGCTAACTTTTTCCATATATTTTTAGTTGGCCAATTAATTTTTTTCTATTCATGGTAGAGACAGGGTCTCACTCTTGCTCGGGCTGGTTTCGAACTCCTGACCTTGAGCCATCCGTCCACCTCAGCCTCCCAGAATGGTAGAATTACAGGCGTGAGCCACCACGCCCAGGCAATTACAGAGTTTAGATGGGGAAAAAAATCAGACACAAAAAAGACAAGTATCACCTGAGTGGGAGACAGGATGCTGGAATCCCAGAACAAGGAACTTTCCTGGCTCTGCCAGTTGGACCACTTGCATCCTCCCCTGGGCCCCGGGTTTCCCTCCTCCACACCTTTCCCCATCCTGCTTCTTCCTCGTGGAATACCTTCTCCATCAGGTCCCTCCTCCCAGAGTCAGATCTGTCCTGTGAAAGATGAGCAGGGCAGGTTGCAAACCAGGATGTACTGTGCAGCTCTCACCTGTTTTAAGTTTAGGTGTGTGTGCTTGGGTATAAAAGCAAAAGTGTTGAGCTGGGTGCAGTGGGGCACATCCATCATCTTGGCTGGAGCCCAGGAGTTTGAGACCAGTTTGGGCAACGTAGTGAGATCCCCTTCTCTTAAAAAAAAAAAAAAAGAAAGAGAACATTGAGAGAGGTAAATAGGATAAAAAGTTAAGCGTAGTTTCCTCTGTTGAAAGGGGCTTGGATTTCAAGATTTATATTTTTCTCTATTTTCCAAATTTAAAAGAATGAACATGTATTACTTGTGTGAACAGAAAACATTCTTTTTAAAAACCTTGACCACTGCTTCAAGGCCCAGCTCGAATGCCGCCTCCTACACAGAGCTGTGATGTCCCCTGGTGTGTGTTTGCCTTGCAGGGTCCTTGGCAATGCCGTTGTCTTTGCCCCTGTAAATCTTCCCACGCAGAGAGGAGGCCTCCCTTGCCTGCTTCTAGCAGTAGGTCCTGGCCGAACAGAATTGCTCCAAAAGCCTGCTGGCCAAGGGCAAGCTGTGCCCACAGATGGCTGCAGCTGATGCTTTTGAACTCTTACCCTCTGTTAAGCTCATTTTGCTTAATCCTTCCCAACAATCTTCCGAGGTAGGCATTATTATTATCCTCAGTTCAGAGACAAGAAACTGTCTTAAAACCTACACAGGGTAACTAGATTGTTAAACAACACCTCCCAGTTTGCCTGGCTCCACTCTGCCACACCCAACAAGGACCTGTCCGGCAGCCACCTTGCTTCTGGGCAAGTGACATGATCTTTCAGGTCCCCTTGTCTTTGTCTGGCCCTCTCCTTCCCCACCCTACCCCTGACTTCCACCCCACCTTCCTGCCATCTAGTCCCCACCTCTGGTCACTCCAGGACTCAGCTCACTTACTGCTTCTTCCAGGAAACGTTCTCAGGCAGGCTCAGGTTTTTTCTGCAGTCTGGATTAGGAGACTCCTCTTTGCTTACCTGCAGCACAGCATTTATCACTTCTTACTGAACTTGGCCTCTCTCTCCCCAAACAAACTCAAGGGCAAGAGTTTAATTTCTTTATCCCCAATGTTTATCTGGCACAAATTAGGTATTTACTAAATACTTGTTGAACTAATTAATATTATCTTTATAAGAGCTGTGTAAGATAACCTTTTTCAAAATGAAGAAAACCAAAGCTCAAGTAAGTTGAGTGGTTTGCTCAGTCATGGCCAGTAAGTTTTGGGATTGATACTAGAATCTAGGTCTTTTGGCATCTTGTCCTGGTTGACCAAAATGCTGAAATTTAAAGAAACAAGAAAAAAAAAAAAAAAACCCAAACCCAGTCAGTTTTAAGGGGAATAAAAATTTTAATTATGTGCCAGTGCATGAAACAGAGGTATATTTAGGTCATTTATATATTTTTCCTTGTTTAAAAAAATACAATCGATCATGCTTTTTATATAGCCTTTTCTTTCTTTTTGATCATTGCTTAGTATTATAATTTTTAGGAGTTGGGTTGTAAGGCTAAGCAGTTGAGCTGCCACATTGCATATAAAAAACATTAACATAGCCTTAGGGTATGAAGAACTATAAGAGTGTCAATTTTACCAGGTATATACCAGCTTCAAGAATTATCATTTAAGGCCGGGCGCTGTGGCTCACGCCTGTAATCCTAGCTCTTGGAGCCGAGGCGGCGGATTGCTCAAGGTCAGGAGTTCAAAACCAAGCCTGAGCAAGAGCGAGACCCGTCTCTTACTATAAATAGAAAGAAAATTAATTGCAACTAGATATAATATAAAAATTAGCCGGGCATGGTGGCGCATGCTGTGAGTCCAGCTACTCGGGAGGCTGAGGCAGGAGGATCGCTTGAGCCCAGGAGTTTGAGGTTTGCTGTGAGGCTAGGCCGACGCCACGGCACCACTCTAGCCTGGACAAAAAGGAGACTCTGTCCAAAAAAAAAAAAAAAAAAAAGAATTATCATTTAAAATTTGCTTTATGATCAGAGATATAAGAGGTGCCTCATTATTTGTTTCCCTTTTATTTCTTTGTCAGCAGAGGTTGAGTATTCTGTGCATTCATTTACCCATAATCTTGTGAGACTCACATGTTCATGCTCTTTATTGTGCTGTTTTTGTTTTTGTTTTTTTTAAGGTTATAGAAGGCAAACTTGGCTACTTAAGTACTAAGTGGAAAGCACTGTGCTAGGCACTGGCAGAATGTAGTGCAAAGATAACTAAGATACCATCCCTGCATTCTTAATGAGTTATGTTCAAATAGAAGAGATGGATATGCACAGAAATAACAATCCAGATGGCCAAACTGTTCAGTGGAGCAATTGAGAGACAAATAATGGATTGTAGAAGAACAGAGTTAGGATCAATGATTCCTGACTTGGAGAGTATCAGGGAAGGCTTCAAAGAGGTGGTGTCATTTACTCTAGGCTTGAAAGGATGAGAAACCTTCATTTAGAAGGAACGCCGTGTTGACAAAGCATCATGAACAGATGTTGAGTTCATGATGTATTTTGACATTTTGTTCCTGAGAACATTTAATGTTAGTGTTTGTATCAGCTAGGATGGTTTTGGTAGAGAGAAGAGAATATCCAGTGAAAAGTGGTTTTATTGACTCAGGAAATTGTATTATCTCACATGAGGGACAGCTAATCAGAGGCACAATGTGACAGAACCCCCAGTCTTTCTCTCTTTCCTCTCTGCCTTCCTAGGTGTTGACTTTGTCCTCAGACTGCTCTTTTCTCAATAGCAAGTTTGCTGCCTCACTCTAATTGCGTCCACTCACAGCCTTCAAAAGTAGGACAGGCCAGAGTCTCTCACCTCTTCCGTTTAATTATGGAAAAATATTTTCCCAGAAGCACCCAGAGGGCTTCTCCTTACGTGAGATGAGATAGGCTGGCACCAAGTTATGTGCTCTACGTAATCTAATCAGTGGCTTAAATTAATCAATGTTCACCTCTCAAGAACTTGAGAGGGGATCACCCTCTTTGAATTCATGGGCCTCTCGAATTTGGGGTTCTATAAATAAGGAAGGAGGAGTGAGTACGTAGAGCTGTTGATTAAACAATAGTATTATCTACCATAGTGGTCATGAGCAGACATTTTAATCAACATTATACCAATATTAACAAATTTTCATCTAGAAAATATTTTCTGGACTCAACTTTATTGAGCTAATAATTTTAGGAAAATTTTTCTATATTGTATATACCATTTTAATTTTCTTCCATTTTCATTTTTGTTTTACTTAAACTACTTTCATGGATATCAATTCTATTCCATATAAATTTTATACTGCAGATTGATTTCATTGATGTTTTTTATATGTCCATATTAAATTTTGTTAATAATATTTGTAGGCTTTGACATTATTCATTTTTTTTGGGACTGTTAGTTGTACTAATTATCTTGGCCAAATTTTCTGGAACAAGTTTTATTTTATGTTGACTATTTCTATCAGTAATCTTAATTAGGAATTGGTTAAGAGATTGATTATATGTATTTCTCAGTTAATCCATAATAAAATTGTGAGTAATTCTTCTCAGGTATGTGAAGAGTAATCTGTTGTCAAGATTATTGTATCGTAAGAGTCAGCAAACTAGGGCCCCATGGGCCAAATGTGGCCTGATGCCTATTTTTGTAGGACCTCAAGATTAAAGTGGTTTTTACAGATCAACTTTTGCAATCTATTTGATAGATGATAGGCAATACTAACTTTAATCCCAATTAAGAGAAATGTTACCTACCCCCCAAAAAATGATTTTTCTCATAAATAGAGTTGTATTATAATAATTGTAATCTGTTATTATTATATTGAATTTTATAAAAAACATTTTGTGGAAATTTGTTTTCTCTCTTTTCATATAAATTCTACATAATATTCTTTTTTTCTCCTAAACATTATGTAAGACATTAATGTAAGACATGTAAGACATTAATGTAAGACATGTAAACATTATATAAGAAGTGATTCTTCATAATATTCTTGATTTTGACTTTTGGCCCCCAAACCCTAAAATATTTACTACCTGGCCATTTACAGAAAAAGTTTGCTGACCTCTGCTCTATTGTGTTGCTAATCTGATTCTTCTGAACAGTTACACTCTCCCTGCCCTACACTAACTGTCTGCTCCTCTGGGGGTACAAAGAGCAAATGGTGAGTGTCTTAGTCTGTTCAGGTTGCTATCAGAAAAAGAAAAAAACACAACTCATAAACTGAGGGAGCCTGGGAAGTTCAAGATTAAGACAACAGCAGGTTCTGTGTCTGGCGAGGACCCACTTTCTGGTTCGTAGATGACTGTCTACTCACTGTGTCCTCACATGGCAGAAGGGGCAAGGGATGTCTCTGGTGTCTCCCTTATTATATGAGGGCACTAATCCCATTCATAAGGGCCCCACCCTCATTACCTAATCACCTCCCAAAGGCTCCACCTCCAAATACCATCACCTTGGGGATTAGGTTTCAACACATGAATTTTGGGGGATATAAACACTCAGTCCATAGCAGTGAATGAGGTCAATGTATTTTCAGGGTTAAAATCATAGAATCTGTCCTGCTTCAATTGGGAAAATAGCAATTGGGTGAGTGTGGACATATTGTTCAGTGATGAAGGAAGATGACTCTTCAAACTCTAACATACTGTGTCAAATAACAAAATTGACATAAGAATTTTTTAGAATAAAAGTCAGTTTACATTTTTTGTTTTGTTTTGTTTGGTATTGAAGGATGATGAGTCTGACATGTTGGAAAAGCCAAAATATCATTGTTTGAAAATGTCAACATTTGAGGGAAACAATCTTTTGAAAAATGGGAGAGATGAGAGGACTTATACTTTTTCTACTGATTTTTACTGAAGTTAGCTTCTTTTTCTTTCCTTTAACAGATGAGGAAAAAGAAAATAATAGAGCATCCAAGCCCCATTCCACTCCTGCAACTCTGCAATGGTAAGT